TTCAGTCTCACTTGAGTCATTTTGTGTTTAGCTTTTTGTCAGGGAAGTCTTCAAATGTCCTCAGAGCGTGGATTCCACTTTGTCACATCTATTTTAAAGAGTCATCATCTGTCTTTCTGCCTCTCAGACTCCTTGCTGCCCGCCCTGCCCATCCTTCCTGGATATGAGGTCACGACAGACGGACGAGAACAAAGGATGGGCTGCAGGCATCTCAACTTAAATTCTTACCGCATATTATATGCTCTCTCCTTCTAGCTGTGCTGCTTTTAACCACACACACTAGAAATGCATCAGGAAAAACGCACTGAAGACTTTTGTTAAAATCAGCTACGTTTATGATGTGTAGAGAATTCTGCAGAGACAAGTTTACTGTTGCATGATATTCATATGACATATGCATTACTTACAATATTGCTGGGCAGTTTGTTTTTATTTCAGAGATGATAGAGTCTCTGTTAGATTTTACATCTGTTTGAATCTTTATTAGGGATCAAAGCCCTGTTGTTGATTGGGTTCTTATTATTTTAACAGTAGTTATTAGGGATAAACCAAGTATTGGTTTGATCTGATATTCAACTTTAGAATAAATAGATTTAAACATGCACTACTTTGGCTCTGATGCAGCTTCCTTTCTTGATCTGTACCACCAGTAATAGCCGATCAACACTGAGGCACAAATGTCAAAAAGTTCTGTAATAATGAAACATGTAAAACACAAATAAACTATGATATTTTCAGTTTTGTTTTGGAGTTTATGTCATTGAAAAAATGTAAAACTCAATTCAACGAATCCTTGGATTTGTTGGGTCTTTGTATATATTTTGTAGGATCATAACTTCTCTCTGAATTAGCAAATTTATCTCCGTGAATAATAATACTATCGGGTCTTAACCTTAAAGTTTAAATTAGTTGAGAAATCTCAACAATTATGAGTACTATAGGGTCGTGGACTTAATAGTTCCACAGTCATGCACAGGTGTATTGTCTATACTTTGGGAACGAGTCTGACCTCAATATTTAAACTTGTTTGATTAATTCATAACGCCAGTCTTTTTTTTCTACTGGAAAGCTGCTGCTTTACATATGCAATATAAATAATGGTGACAACTTAGTTATTCCAAACTTTGACATCAAGGACTTGATGTAAATCTGTTTCAACTATCAGCTAATATCATCTATCTATAATATTAAATACTAATAATTAAAGCCACAAGCGGCGATGGACGGGTCCTCGCCGTACGCTTGTCAGCCTTTACGCACGTCCGGACGTGGCGCAAAAGTCCTCCGGGCGGGAATCTGATTCGGAGTGTCGAGTTTGGGGTAGATCGGAGCACATGCGGCCTAGTTATGAGTAGGGCTGGTCCGAATAGCAATTTCTGATCTCCGGACATTCGGTCCCAATTAATGCAGAAAAACGCGAATATTCGGGGGTGCCGCGCGGTGGTGGCGACTGACTATGTTTGTCGACGGGAGTGGGGGGTGCGCGCACCGACAAGCTGGAGTGGGCGTGACGCGACGCACAGGCCGCATTTGGCTACAAAAACCACTTTCTTTTCGCGGCAGTGGGGATATTTGGAGATCTAGTTTGATATCCCGATTCCAGCACAGTGAACGAATAGTCGGCTATTCGGGTCCAGCCCTAGTTACGAGCCACTTCCTGTTTAGTGGCGAGCCGCGGCGGCGTGCATGTTGGCCGTGGCTACTAATTACTAGTATCTGTATCAGCCCTAAAAACATTTCAGTCAATCCCTACTAGGTATTTCGTTTTCTTTTTTCGTGTATTATGACATTTTATTTTGCCTCTTAAATACCCTATTTGTTATCAGAATTCATTTCACTTCACTGACATTGCTGATAATAAAGCCCTTCCATTGGCTCTACTGTCTGTGCTGTGTCTGTTGTCGTGGGCTGGCAGCTTGGAATAGTTTAAGCTATTTTTAATTATTTACACAACCAGTCAAAAGTTTTAGAACACCCCAGTTTTTCCAGTTTATATTGAAATTCAAGCATTCCAAGTCTAATGAATAACTTGAAATGGTACAAAGGTAAGTGGTTAAAAGAATAAAGGTAAGGTTACCCAGAACTGAAAACTAATGTACATTTCAGAATTAGACAAAAAGGCCTTTTTTAGGGAAGAAGAAATAAAAACTTACGGCTGTTCTGCAGCAGTGGAGGCTGATCAGGTCTTGAAAGTAGTTCCTACAGGTGTCGCAAATATTCTTGATTACTCACAACCCACTCTGTCTGCATGAAAGTAGTGCTGGAACACACCTGTAAGCATTATTTGAACAGTGTTGTACTGCAGAAAGTCATGTGTTGCTATAAAAATGGCAAGAAAAAGGCCACTAACAATGGAAGAGAGACAGACCATCATGACATGACAGAGACATTGTGAAGACAGTCAAGGTGTGAGAACAGTTTGCTTCACTGTCAAAGCAAACCCAGAAACTGACAGGAAGAGGTCTGACAGACCCAAACCCCCAACAGAAATAGAAGACAAGTTTCTGAGAGTCATCAGCTTGTGTGATGGGCAGCTCACAGGACATCAGGTTCAAGCACAGTTAAGTTGCAGCAAGAAGCCACTGTTAAGATGTCAGAATAAGAAAATGAGGCACGCCATGAAACACAGCCAGTGGACTACTGAAGACATGAGGAAGGTGTTATTGAAAGCAAAATGTGGAATCTTCGGTTCATCACGCAGGATTTTTGTACGCCATCGAGTAGGCGAGAGGACGGCTCTTCAGTGTGTGACATCAGCTGGTAAACAAGGAGGAGGAAGTGTGAGGGTCTGGGGCTGTTTTGCAGGATCCAGGGTCAGTGACTTGTACAGAGTGAGGGGGACCCTGAATGGCTACCACAGCATTCTGCAGCAGTACCCTCTGGTATGCGCCTAGCTGGTCAGGGGTTCATCCTACAGCAACATAATGACCCAAAACATAAGTCCAAGCCACAACAAAATGGTAAGCTTGAAAAAAAAAATGGACAGAAGAGTGAAAGCAAAGCAGCCTATGAGTGCCACACATTTATGGGAACTTGTGCAACAGAGTTGGGAAGAACTTTCTAAAGAATATTTGATTTCCACTGTAGAAAGAACGTCATGTGCAATTTTCACCTGGTGCAATGTCATGTGCAATTTTCACCTGGTGCAATGTCATGTGCAATTTTCACCTGGTGCAATGTCATGTGCAATTTTCACCTGGTGCAATAACCACACTCGTCACTTTAATAATTATTATTGTTATTGTACTTATTGTATTGTTTTTATTAAGGCACTATTCATATTCTCTGGTACTTGTATTCTTATTTTATTTACTTTTATTTTTTACTTTTTATTTTTATTCTTATTGGAATTACTTGTTTACTTTAACTGTTTTGCTTGCTTTAACTGTACTCTGGCAAAACAATTTCCTTCGGGATGAATAAAGTTTATCTTTATCTTTATCTTTTATCTTTATGAGTGTGTTTAGCTGTTATATTTGGCAAAGGTGGCGACTTTGATGAGTCAACAGTTTAGAATTTTGGTTTATAAACTGATTCCATGATTTCTTTTTTAACCTCAGCTGTTTATTTGTTTTATGCTTTCATTTCAGAGTACAATGACACATTAAACTGAATAAATTTCAACAAAAAAGAAAGAAAAATCGGGGTGTTCTAAAGCTTTTGACTGCATATTTGTGCAGTGAAAAGTCTTTTAGTTTCTGACTTGTGTATGTGTAGAAAAATTATAAGATGCTTTGCGTCCTACTATGCCTATTTGTTGCCATAATTGATGTAACTTAATTTACATATATATTGATAAAGTACGATTGTTAGCTCTATTTTCTGTTCCGGCCTGTTAGCTACCTAGTAATGATTTAAGCTAGCATATAGCAACATAGGCTATTTAAAGTATTTACATTTGTCTACGGGCTGCAAAGTGGCGTAGTTGGTAGCACTGTTGCCTCGCAGCTAGAAGGTCGCCGGTTCGTGTGAGCCGGTTCTTACTGCGTGGAGTTTGCAAGTTCTCCCCGTGCAGTGTGGGTTCTCTCCCACAAGTCCAAAAACATGTTGAGGTTAATTGGTGATTCTAAAATTGTCCGTAGGTGTGAATGTGAGTGTGCTTGGTTGTCTGTCTCTAAGTGTAGCCCTGTGATAGACTGCTGACCTGTCCAGGGTGTCCCCTGTCTTCACTCTAAGTCAGCTGGGATAGACTCCAGCCCCCCCCTTGTGTACACATACTTGTGTATGTGTAGATGAGATATTTTGCTTTTTACCCACCATATTTGTTGTCATAATTTATGCAACTTAATGTGCATACCTATCAATTAAGTGCTAATGTTAGCTGTCGCTTCTGTGCTGCATCTGCTCCGGTGGGCTAGCTAGCTAGGAGTAATTTAAACTAGCCTTTAGCTTCCTAAGCTACTTTAAATTGTATATTTGTCTAGTTAAAAGCCATTTAAGCAAAACAACCTGTAACGAATCAAATTCTGACTTGTGTATGTGTAGATGAGGTATTTTGCTTTATACCCACCTTATTTGCTGTCATAATCCATGCAACTTAATGTGTACAGAGTGCTAACGTTAGCTGTAGCTTCTGTGCTTTATCTGTTCTAATTAGCTAACTAGCTACGAATAATTTAAGCTAGCCTTTAGCTACCTAAGCTACTTTACATTATATATATTTGTGTAATTAAAAGCCATTTAAGCAAAACAACCAATTTCTGACTTGTGCATGTGTAGAAAAATGCTAAGATATAGAATAAAAGAAATGCTGGCTGACGTTTAATAACAAAATAAACCTGCTAGCACCTACAGGTAATTAACTGTCCTGCTAACCCTGCTTTGTGGCTGTATTTTAGCACCAATAAAGTAAAAATAATCTTGACACATGTACTTACAGATAACCATATCTGGGAGCAAACTGTGAGCATGAGTTACTGCAGCACATCTGAGTTTCCTCCAGGCTTTGATATGCTGCTGGATTGGACTGACCCCTCCGCCGCCTCTCTGCTCTGCCTGTCCGGGCTGCACGGAGGGAGGGAGGGGTGTGACTTCCAGCCAACCGTCGACAGCTCCGGAGTTTTCAGATCAGTAAAAAGATGAGGAGCTGCTCTCTCCCACCGAGCGGCGAAGAAGGACCTCTAATTCATCGGCAAATCTAGGAAATAACGGAGAATCGACTGCTCAGTAATGAAATGCACGTCCCCCGGTGTTGGCTTAACTTTGATCTGAACTGCGAGCGTCCAGCGGTAAGTTTGCGTTCAGTGCTGGAAAAAGTCTGCTTGAATCGGCTCTAAGTGTCCATTTAATTAGATGAAGTCAGACCTGGAGCTAAAGTAGACTTATTTCATGTGTGAAAAGCAGAGGAGGATGTGATTTATGGTTTTAAATGAGTAGTTTAAACTCATCTGTAAACATCAGCATCAGTATATTTTAATGTGATGACTCCACTTTTTATTTTTCCAGCTTTATTTTTTTTTTTAATGCATGTATTTGCTAGATTCAATGACATCCTAATCTCTATAAAAACTGTTAATTAATCAGACTGTACACTGCTTTATTGTAACCTGATAACAGCAGCAGGATGACCTATAAAGCTGCTCTCTGGACTAAAAACTCACATCTTGTGCTGCAGTTGAACACAAAGCACCCTGGAGTCCCTGCTCAAGTCTGACATCCAGTGTCGGCAGCTTGAAGATGATCAACCCTCGGATATACCTCCACTACAACCACACGGGGAAGCTGGACCACCGGCCCAGCGTTGGCACGAGCCCCGGCGCTGTGGACACCAAAACCATCGTGTTCCTCATCGTGTGCAGCTTCATCGTCCTGGAGAACCTCACCGTGCTGGTGGCCATATGGAGGAACCACAGGTTTCACAACCGCATGTACTTCTTCATCGCCAACCTGGCGCTGTGCGACATGCTGGCCGGGGTGGCCTACCTGGTCAACCTGCTCCTGTCCGGGGAGAAGACCCTGCAGCTGTCCCCGGCTCTCTGGTTCGTCAGAGAGGGCAGCATGTTCGTGGCACTCGGCGCCTCCATCTTCAGCCTCCTGGCCATCGCGATCGAGAGACACCTGACGATGATCAAAATGAGGCCCTATGACGCCAACAAGAACTACAGAGTGTTTCTGCTCATAGGGACCTGCTGGCTGATTGCGATATCTCTTGGAGCTTTGCCTATTCTGGGCTGGAACTGCCTGGAAAACCTCCCCGATTGCTCCACAGTCCTCCCTCTCTATTCCAAGAAGTATGTAGCTTTCTGCATCACAGTGTTCATGGTTTTGCTCTTGGCCATGTCAGTCCTCTACGCCCGCATCTACATCCTGGTCAAGTCCAGCAGCCAGAAGGTGAGCAAGCACAGCAACTCGGAGCACGCCATGGCCCTGCTGCGCACCGTCATCATCGTGGTCGGGGTCTTCATCGCCTGCTGGACGCCCATCTTCGTGCTGCTCTTGGTGGACGTGGCGTGCGAGCAGCGCTGCCCCATCCTCTACAAGGCCGACTGGTTCATCGCGGTGGCGGTGCTCAACTCCGCCATGAACCCCATCATCTACACGCTGGCCAGTCGAGAGATGAGACGGGCCTTCCTGGGTCTGGTTTGCGGCGTTTGCTACAGGGGGAAGGCTTCTGTGAACGGCAGCGGGAACAAGCCGTCTCTGGAGCCCAGCCGCAGCCGGAGCAAGTCGTGGAGCAGCCAGAACAACCCCAACCAGAACCAGCAGAGCTCCAGGCAGGCGGAGCTGGAGAAGGGGACGCAGACGGACGCCGGCCACGGAGAGGTGTCGGTGGTGGCCGGAGCAAGCAGAGGTGCTGCTGAGGCTGTCGTTGAGGGTGACAGGAAAGACTGAAAGAAGGGATCTACATGTTGTGTGTTTACTGATGAGCATTGGAGAACATTGGTGACCAGAAGGACTTTTGCTCCAATTAGAATGAAGGACAGAGTTCAGACATTTGCTGCAGGGCAGTGGTTTCACCTTTGTGCTTGATATTGACATATATGCATCTTCTACAGTTGGGAAGCTCATTAAATGTTCACATTGATGTATGAGGCCAACAGATTCCATCAGTTTGGCCTCTTTTGTCGAGTTCAGTGTCCGGTGAGAGCCAAGCATCTCCAAATTTGCTCATTTTACAGATAACTTGAGGACCTTTTATCTGAAAAATGCACTCTCACAAACCTTAAACAGGGCAGCTCATTGAAAATTGACTTTTTGGAGGTGCGTGGTTTTCACAGAACAGTGATTTGTGCAGATGAATGGTGCTCTTCCCCTCTGACAGAAAAGACATTCGTTGTGACCATCCAAGAGAAATAGAAAGTGAACATCCACCTGTAATCAATTAAAAGTGCAATTATAGTACTGCAAAAACAATGTAACGAAGAATGATTGTAGACAGTTATTATCGTAATGAGATACAGCTGAAGGTATTTATTATTCTATGTATTCTGTCATTTTGTATTTACCCAGTGATGCTACAGTATGCTGTGCAGTTACTGTCATCTGCATTGTACATAGTAGACTTGAGGTTTGACACAAACATGCTGAAACTGCTACTTTTTTTTTTATCATATCAGTAGAGTTCAAAATGAAAGAACTGCATTTGTTACAGTAAAAACAAAAAAAATCCGGCAGCAGTAGTTTTAGTGAAACCAGGTCTCCCTCTGCTGGTTGTGCTCAGTACTGCTGCATGTTCAGTGTGGAAAGTTTTCATCAACCGTAAAAAGCATGAAGCTCTTAAACTAAGTCCAAGTCTCAAGAGGCATGTGAATGCAGCATGTGAAACTAAAACGCAGATGCAAAATATCGGCTTTGACACAATAAAGTAAAAAGAAAAACGTGTAAACGCACTGAGTGAGGATGTTTCATGTGGATCACCTCGTGTGGGGAGCAGAGAGTGGTTCGGCCTAGTTTTGGGAACATTTTCCACTTATTAACAGAGGTTTCTGGTCATTCTGATAGTTTTGATTTGGGGAGGTTTTTTTTTAAAGATTTCTGCAGCATGCATGAAATTAGAATTTAATTTGTGTTGCTCGCAGGACTATATTAGTGTTATACAACTCAGAATAAACAGCTCCTCTTCAGTTCTGGATAATCTTCACATCTCACTGTTCTCTGTTTTCATGGGAACTAATTCCATCCATCCATTGTCTATACACCGCTTAATCCTCACTAGGGTCGTGGGGGGCTGGAGTCTATCCCAGCTGACTCAGGGTGAAGGCAGGGGACACCCTGGACAGGTCACCAGTCTATCACAGGGCTACACTTAGAGACAGACAACCAAGCACACTCACATTCACACCTACAGACAATTTAGAATCACCAATTAACCTCAGCATGTTTTTGGACCTTGTGGGAGGAAGCTGGAGAACCCAGAGAGAACCCAGGCTGTATGGGGAGAACATGCAAACTCCAGCAGAAAGATCCCGGCGACCTTCTAGCTGCGAGGCGACGGTGCTAACCACCGATTAACCTTGCAGCCCAGGGAACTAATTTATTATCATATTTTAAACCAATTCCATAGTTGGTTTAACAGTGGATAACTGGATTATCCAGCGTAACAAGTACAGTTTATGGAGACTTTAATGCATCATAAACACTACTCATTAGTAGTGTTTATGATGAGGTGGAAGAAGAAATCCCAAAGACTGGTGTATCAAAATCAAACTGGATGCATGTCTGGATGTCATAATGGCAAGTGAGAAGCATGTTTTTTAAATGTTTGGTGAAAAGTAAGGTTTTTACCTTTATAACATGTCCATATGGAGTGTTTTTTTTTACATTGCTGGAAGACATATAAAGAGTGAGGAAAGCAGCCACCACCTTAGCTCAGACTTGCTTTTCATACAAACCTAAGAAACCAGTTTTGTCTCTTGGCCTGGTGGGACTTTTCCTCGTCATCGCTCTTCTTTAGAACTGGATTGCATTCCAGTGTTCTTACAACATGGTGCACAAGAAAAAGATTTAGCATGTTCCAGTATGACGGGTTTTCGGATTGAACAAGTATGTCTAAATTACAGCTTCCTATTGTGTAACGTTGAATAGTTTGACAGTGTTGTGGCAGAACCAAAGGTGAGCTGGTGTGCTTGAGCTGCAGTGCAGAAATGAGAGTATAGAGATCCAGAACTTCTCGAGGAGCCATTTCAAGGCAGAGAGGGACTATGTTGATGGGGGAAAAAAACTTCTAAATATGTAGCTCTGAGTTTTTAGGGATTTAATCAATGACCGGAGAAGGATTTAATCATTTGGACGGCCCAGACTTGTCACATTTTATAGGGAACCTGCGATGACATGTACCATAAGCTGATAAGATTAGTTCCTGCAACGGCACAGACAACAACAGAGATTCTACACATTCACGGTTTTATTGCCAACAGTCATACAGAATAATGATAAACCCATACAACCAAAAGATTAAATCTGTAAACATCATTTGGACTTGTTTCTATGTTTTTATTCTTTTTTTTTTTTTTTTTTTACTATACCTGTCCCAAAATAGTGAGTTTCTGTGTGATTTTTCCCCTCTGACAAAGATTTTATATTTAGAATCTGGAAATGATACATTTATAATATATAATAGAGAGGGAGGGAGGGAGGGAGGGAAAGAGACAGAGATAGAGAGAGAAAACAGTAGTCTCAAGCAGCAACACGCAGCAGGGCAAAACACAACCTCTAGTGAACAGGCATGCCCCATTGAAGATCAGCTATTGCACTTTGAAGGGAGAGAGAAAGAGAAATAAAAACACCATTTGTACAAATAAAAGGCACATTTTCATCAACAGAAATCTGGAAAGACACCATGTTGTTATCCGGTGTGTTTTGGTTGGATAATTTTTCTTTATCTCACAAAGCTAATCGTCATGATCCGATAGGTTCAAGTATGGAATCGTTTCAGTTTTTTTTATGCTTTGTTCAAAGTGATTCTACAAATTTATTCTTCACAAATCAAAAGATTACATTAGCATAGTGCTTTTTTGAAATTTCTTTTTTTTTTTTAGCGCATTACTCCTTCTCCCGAGATATTACATTTGATGAAATTTTGTCACGAATGCTCGGACGACGTAAAAGTAAATGGCGATAAACTCTTCAGCGACTCTTTGTGCCTGTTTTCTTCTCACTTTTCTAATTCTTCTCGCGCCCTCTCCTCTAATGAATCCTGAGAAGCGAGCCAGGATATGGGACACAAGGAATCAAGAAAAGTTTAAAAAAAAAAGGGGATGTGGTGGATATTTACTAGAATGATCCCAATACTGCTAACTTTTTGCTAAATATGTGTTGTGGTGAGATGCATGTACTGTACACTCCCCTCTTGCAGCAAAACACAGGCACGTTATATTACATTGCATCTGTCTTGTCAAACTCATTGAACACATGCTGATTTTGGTTCAATTGAAGTGGTCCAGTGCATATCAAATACAATGCCCCATTCATTTGGTATCCATCAGAGTCCTGACAATAGTAAGGATGAGAGCATTTTTTTAAAAAGGCTGTTTTCTAGAACTGCTGTGCACTATTTCTATAAGCCATTTTCAAAATTTGGATTCCTTCTCTACAAAAACAGTCTGTATAACCTAAATACTAAACTGTTCAGAGGAACGATTGTGTACAGTGGACTGCAAAATGAAAACTAACGCTGACCTGTCAAGCAACAATGGTTGATTCACCCTCAACTGTAGAGCAACACACAGCCACGTTATCCTTCCTGTGTAAGAAAAAGAACAGAACTGAAGTGACTGACGGGGGTAGAAAAGTGCTTCTGTGCTGACATCTAGTGGCCAAACAGCAGTCCTGCCACAAGATGTCAACACACATGAGAAATAAAATCCTTCAGCAACTGAGAGTGAGCTAATATCTAACATTCTGGATTGAGTGCACACAGTGTGAACGCGACGTTTGTCAGATTCAGTCTGTAAAAAGTGTAAATTACAACACATGAGTAACTTTGTCTCGGTGCGACTGACACAGGTGATCGAACTTCTTGATTGTGCTATTCGTTTGTGAGCGTTCAAATAATAAACTTTTAAAAGTTCATTAAAAAAACTAAAGAAAAAAAAGAAGCTGAGAATGTTAATCAAGAATGTGAGAATATCCATTGTGTGACTCAAGCCCCGAAACTACTTACCGACTACACACCTAAAAGAATTCAGAGAAAACCAATTCAGAAATAATCACTGGTTGAAAAGCATAAATATTTTACAGTGTCAGCATACACAAGCACCTCTTTCAAATAAAGGGGTATCAAGGTCTACGAACATGGCCACAAGAACAGTTGATTTTTAAGTCATGTGACTGCAGTGACACGAGAAAATACTTCATAAAAAAGTTTATCTTTAAAGCCATTGACAGCACTATGAAGGGCGTCTGTTTGCACCCCGACACTTTGTGACAACTGCAAAGCAAAACACATTCAGTTCTAATCTCCAATAAAAGCAGGTTTCATATAGTGACTAATTGAGTAAGCTGTCACACTATTGGTGAGATTAAAGGACATTGTTCCTAATGTAATTCGTTATAAACAGCATTTCTGTTTCCTCAACATCTTAGCCAACAGTTCCTGTAGAAATGTGGTTGTGCTTGACAGACAAAACTAAAATTTTAGATTTTTATTCTAAAATACTCTTGTTAACACCTCTTTGAGGTTTGATTTGCACTTCATCTAAACTACAAGAACAACTGTCTTTTTTTTTTTTCATCTTTTAAAACACCAAATCAAGATATTATGTCCAAATGCACCTATGTCTTCTCAAAAATATAGCATTTCAGTCATCACAACAAAATAATAACAGTTCTATAAATAATTATTTATCTTAAACAAATCTTCCAGTGACTCCGTTGCAGTAACTGCAGGTCAGTTTTCCCAAAAACTCTGTCAGCACATGGAGCCTTTAGGCATCTTCTTCTCGTGTTTCATCTTCAAGTTCCAGGATGGGAGACCGTTAGCAGATTCCTATTTCCCATCAGGCTTTGCAAGCATCACTGTTTCCTTCCAACAGGCTGTAGGAGACACAGTTCACTCCCGGCTGACACGATCGGCAGATTGTTGTCACGATGATGCCCAATAAGGTGGCTAATGCTGTCAAATACATGATCTTTTGTCCGTACCTTTGGAAAGAGGAACAGAGATATCAAAGGTTAGTTTTTGTCTAATAAGAATTTAATCGTTTTACATGCACAATGATTTTTTTTTTCTTTTTATACATTTACAAATCAGTCATTTCTATTTAGAGCATCTCCCTGAAACACACTCTACATGTCCTTCTCTTACCGTTCCTTCAGGGTCCACCAGCAGTAGGTGTTTGGCAAGTCCATTGTGCATGCCTGTCAGTACGTAGGACCCTGGGTTGGTAGTGCTCTTACGCACGAGGAAATCCCCGTCGTCCCTCAGCAGTTTCTCAGCATCGCGGCGGCTCATTTTGCCGTGGTACCACGTCTGGCCCTCCAGCTCCTCCTGCGCCCGGAAGGCCAGCGAGCGCACAAGAAGAGGGCTCGAGTTGTCCACGGACGCCGCCTTGTGAAGACCGGACACGTGCGACTGGACCTGCCCCTGGGAGGGTGGCTGGGACTGGGACTGAATGGCGTCCTCGAAGGGCTCTAGCATAGGTGACGGCAGCGCCATAATGATGAGTTAAGAGGAGAACAGGATGTACGGCACATTAAAATCAGCAGTTTTGGTTTGACATCAACACTTTAGCTTAAGAAAGTTTTCTTTGTGTTTTTGGAAAAGGTAAAAATTGTTAAAGTCAGAAAAACAATGTGGATTTTTTTGTTTATTCTATTTTTGTATTTAGGAAAAGAGGATAGTTGGGAAACCTAGTTCACATGTTACAAATAGAAGAAAAGTCACGGTGTTACGTCCGAGCTATCCTCATTCGGCATTTTTTATTGTTTTTTCTCAAAATAGAAGCGTGTTTCTGGGGTTTACGTCCAACGTTCTCACATACAACTTCTACAACAGCTCTTGAATTTAAAAGTTGTTGTTATGTGACATTCATTTAGTGAGCGCACAAAAACTACAGTTCACAATATCATCTACCAGCACTGTGGGCACCAGAAACCTTCAGAATATTCACAGTAACTCTCTTCTGAAGTCATTTTTCTACATTCTTATCTGAAACCTGCTGCAGCGCTTCTGTCTCCCCCGTCTGGCAGTAAGAGGAATTACACAAACACTGCTGACTCATGATTACGACATATGTCTCACTGTTAATCACTTTTTTAGACTGTGATCCTTCCTCTAAACGCTTAGTTTTCATCTGGAGCATCAGAATTTTTTCTTTGCTTCTCACATTTGTAGGTGTCGCCTAGTACGTCTTGACAAAAAACAGAAATAAACGCTGATATACTGAAAAAAAAAAAAAGACTGACCAGGCACCGATAGACGTAATCAGCATAGTGTACATTTGTTGTTAAGGGCTTGAATATAAGTGTGAGACTCTAGCTTTAACAGCAGAATACCTCAAAGCAAAACTAAAGAAATGATTTCTTCATAAGTACTAACTTTCTTTACCTCTGCCATAAACTTTGGAAACTGAGGTGATGTCAGTTTTTCATGTGAATGTGTGATGGTTTGATTCGCTGTCCAGTTTTACTATTTAGTGCCAATCACTTGGATTGTGAGAGAAAACTGGTGCACATGGGACTTGGAGGTGGACATAAACTTTACAAAGAAAGACCTGAACTATTATTTAAACCCAGACTCATCCTAAGCCCACCTGCTTTGCAAATATATTTCCTACATATTCCATCCATCCATCCATTATCTATACACCGCTTAATCCTCACTAGGGTCACGGGGGGGCTGGAGTCTATTCCAGCTGACTCAGGGTGAAGGCAGGGGACACCGTGGACAGGTCACCAGTCTATCACAGGGCTACACTTAGAGACAGACAACCAAGCACACTCACATTCACACCTACAGACAATTTAGAATCACCAATTAACCTCAACATGTTTTTGGACTGTATGGGAGGAAGCCGGAGAACCCGGAGAGAACCCACGCTGCACGGGGAGAACATGCAAACTCCACACAGAAAGATTCCAGGTGTCCTCACCAGGACGCGAGCCAGTGACCTTCTAGCTGCGAGGCAACGGTGCTAACCACCGACCCACCTTGCAGCCCTTCCTACATATTGTAAATATATCAAAATAACAATCTGTCATGTATGAGCTGTGAGCACTACATCTACAGTGTGTGCTACACCTTATTTGGTTAAAATATTACACACAAGTAGAAGATTTGGGTTTGTTTTTAGAGAAACTCAGTAAAATGTGACTGTACAGTTAAAGAACTAGGGTTGGTAGACAATGACACCTGAATGGATTTTTAAAAAAAGGAAACACTTTTAAACTGCATCCTCCACACCTCGCATGGAATTCGTGCCGTGATTTCTTCATACGTAGACGTCTTTATCGAACTGATCCTCCGTGTTTAATAATAGCAAAGCTGAGGTTGAAGTTAAAAGGAGGAAGGAGTAAACCTAAACACCGGCATTAACGCTGTCCTCCTTTTGTCCTCATTCTGACAAGATGTTATTATAACGCCACACCAAAGTCACTGAGAAACAAAAGGTAGGAAACCTCTATAATTAAGGGCTCTGATTGTAAAGTCATCTCACAGTGTTATAATGAAAGCAAGGTGCACATTCTGTTCAGATGCTTTGTATTGCTTCAGCAGGTGAATCTTAACCCTCCACAGCCCATAATCCCACCGGTGGCCTTAAAAAGCATCTTTGAAGAAACACATAGATTTATGAGCTAGAAACTGTGAAAACTGAAAAAGAAATCTGATTTTAAGCTCTGACATGTGTAAAGCGCAGTTCTGTTGGAAAATCTGCCAAAACTACTCTTAAAATTGTAAATTCTACATTTCTCATACATAAATTTGAAAACGGATTTTGTGAGAAACAAAAAATAAAACCATGAAAACTATGAATGATTCAGCTGTGAGCAAAAGTCGTGACAAACATTTGGACTTTTTGGCTGAACTGCAGGCTGTGTTCACACAGAGCAGATAGAAGACAAGCATGAAAACAGATTAAAAATAGGGAAATATATATAATATGCAGAAACACAAGGTTTTTTTTTGCAGTACTGATAACGCCTGTAGGTTCGTGGACAAATGTCATATATGCTGACTCCAGCATTTTTCAATGTAAAATTTGTAAAATAAATCTTCAAAGAAATTCAACTTTCACGCAAGACATTATACTGCAGTAAAAAAAGAGGCCTTCAGTGAGTAAACAATGTGACAACACTAAAAAACACCCAGAAACAAGTCAAAATTCGGAGCTTGCCTGCAATTAATGTTGGATACACAGTGAATTCAATTTAAAAAAGTACTGATGTTTATACTTATTTAAATCAGTGAGTGCTTCCAAATCCACCACTCAAAGCACATGATAACAGAAGCTGAATATTCAGTGTAATTCAAGTCTTACTCATGTCAAACAGGTCCTTCTGCGGGCTCTCTTTGGCGGCGGCTGCCATGCCCTTTGTCACGTTTTCTGCTTCTGCCTGGAGCGCTGCGAGCACCTGGGCATCGATCTGCTGCGTGTTCACATACGTGGGCATCTCTCCGGTTTTTGGTGCCTGGCTTTTACTCTCTGGTAGACTGTTTATATCAAATGATCCTAAACATGAGGAGAAATAAGCATGCTGTTGAAACGATAAACTGCTGCAGAATTAAAACATCTCATACAGTGAACCACGAGGATTTTCTTACCCTGTTGCATGAAGAAGGCCTTTCTATCGTCTCCCCAGTTTTCACAATGCCGGCCCTGGTAATACGTCTGATCTACTGAGCCTGGACCCATCTATTGACAAGCAGAAAAACAGGGAATTTAAGACATTTCTGAATTCAAAAATGGAGATTAGTTAAAAAAGGACTCGATCCTTTGAACTGAAGGGCGCAGGATTTTACAGAAATGTGATTTTAGCATGATTTTAAAAGCTAAACTTCAAACTTCCATCTACCACCTGCTCAGTGCTAATCTGACAGCCATCTGTGTAAGCCATGTATATGTTCATGCAATTAATATGACAACTGTGGTGACGCATATGGGTGTCAGCATGTGAGTGGAGTCATTTTCCATGATCAGTCAGAAAGTCAAAATCATTCAAAACTGCAGCCTGATCAGCTTGTATCCTGTTTGTGGAGGTTTTCAGCTCATTAAAAAAGCATGACACAGCAATCCCTCAGTGATAACCTGATAATACTGCTGTTAGATATGATCCTCTCTCTACCGGCCATTACTCATACATCCTGTTTGTGCTCTGATGACACCTGTAATGCTCATTATCAGGTAGCTGTTTGTCACAAGAGAACATAGAGTATGTAAATACAAAAGACCAAATAAAGTGTTACTTCTTTACCACATGATGCAGGACAGTCTGTATAACTTGGTTTAAAACAGTTGGCATGAACAAAAACTAGATTTCAACTAATATTTTTTTTCCTTTGGTCCAGATGAAATTAAGTATGAAAGTCAGCATTATTCTTCTCACACGTCTGAGATGAATCCGGATAAACTGAGCAGTACCTGGCATCCATCTGTTGCTGCATTCTGATTAGTCAGCCGGGTGTCGATGAAGCCTCCAGGGGGTGGCATCTTGCCGGGGATGTTGTTATAGTAAGGATGTTCTGCTGACTCCTCCTCTTCCTCTGTCCACGGCAACTCCTCCATGTTTAATACCCTAAGAGGACAGCATAGTTCGGTCATACTGCTGCATTGCACTGTTACTGTTATTGTTATTATTATAAATTTTACCGTGTGTGCTATGTTTATCATCAGCACCTCACCTGTCATGAGTGGAGGACAGCTTGCTTGAGGGACACTGCAGGTACTGCTGGAAGCGAAGGTCAAAGGCCTGGCCGATGGTACTGATGACATCCTGGGCAAGTCCATCAGAGCACTCCAGGATGTGACATGCTGACAAGAGCAACACATTTTAATCAGTTAGCATGCAGCGTATGAGACCCTCTGTGGAGTATCAATGGAAAAAAAAACACTCACCTCTTCTGTTAACAGGGTCCTTTGCTACATAGGCAACGTAATCTGTTGTGTCCTATAATAAAAGATGCATCTTGTAAAATTCCACTGATATAATAGAATCACACAAATATTACATAATTATATAACACAATAAAGAAGGACAAATATCTTTAGGAAGTCTCTGGTGAACAGTGCACGGCATGCCAGATAGCAATTATGTATATTTTCATTAGATTATATACATATTGTCCACAATATGTTGCACTGGAAACAAATGAGCACAATGTTCTTTGAAAAAGTCCCATGTGGTAGAAATCAGTTTTTATGGTGTTTTGTGGTTATAAACTTAACATTCTCAACACCTTCGCCCTTAGTGTTTGTACACTGTGCAGATAATGTGGGTAACGTTAGCTTGATCGCACACCCACAGGTCGGAGGTCGGTGGAAACTGTACAGCTGAGGGACATTCAGAGGTGGTGGAGAGTTGAAAACCAGTTGAAAACCAATAAACAATAACTGGTTGAGTTCCTGTGTTTCCATGTCACTTGTTATGCTTCAGTCCAACCTGATCCAGTGTTTACATCTCTCCTGCTCTCTGTGTTCACATACACTGCATTTTAATAAGGAAAAATTCCCACTAAAGCTATTCTCATTCATATAATTTTCTGTTTCTACTGTCAGACAACAAAACTAGTTTGAACTAGTGACTGAAACTATGTGTTTACCAGCAGTCACAGCAGAGTCATGTCCAAGCTGCTGCTCTGCACCTCTAAAGTCTCACCATACACATGAGTTAAAAGTAGTGGCAGTGCTGTAAATAGTTGTATTTTAATAAACAATAAAATATTTCTCACATTTGCCAAACTTTTATGTTTGTATTTTTCACATTTTATTTCAATTTAAATGTGTGCCAGTGAAGTGATTCTTTTGGTACTTACCGGGTCTCCACCTGATGCAAAGGAGATGGACTGCATGTGATGGTTGGCTATGATCTATCAGACAGAGAATGGTACAAGGAATCAATAAGTGCTTCTGCATACATACAAACATGCAGTCATTATATATGTTTTTTAGTGCAACAATCTACATGGGGAAACAAATTCCTAGCAACCCATTTTTTAAAATCCCTCTTCATCTTTTTAGTTAACTGTGGAGATTCATTCTGGACCTTACTACACATGGTAGATATTATAAAAGGTCCACATACAAAATTATTTACATCTTCAGCTTTTCTTTTTTTTTTCCAGAGTGCTGAAGTTGTGCTTGTAGCACCAGCAACATTTTGTGGTTTATTCACAGCTGCATAATGGAAAAATTCCAATCCTATTCATTTAAATGTACCACATGGACAGTATGACCTGACACTTATCACTGCACGACCAAAGTTCAGTCTACACCAACTCTGACCTCCGTTCGGTGTCTTTGCCATCAGAACAAGCTGTCAGTCTGTCAGTAGTTCAGGAGAGCTGAATTAAGAGTGGCAAGACAAACTGTCCAGACTGACTGACAGCAGACATTTACTGGACAAAACACCGTTTGCATGTAGGCTCAGGAGGATGACATCAGCACAGTTTTTGTTGCCGCTGTATATGCTTCTCCTTTTGGACAATTTGATTAAATAATCCTGCATGTTTTCTGCTGCCTACTTTCAACAGCGGTCTGTCAGTTGTCAATTCAGATGCCCAGACATAAGCCAAGTGTTTTGAGTTTGCTGTTTCACATGTCATTTTATCAGACTAAGATAAGTATCTGCTCCTGTGCTTCTTGTACTTTTACTTATTGGTAGCGACATCAAGCTTTTTAGATCGTACAAGTGTTAGCTTGACAATGCCAGTAATAGATTGGTGGCCTGTTTAGCCTCTGTGCTGTGCTGCTGATTTTGTGATGAGTATGAATGATTGCCATTGTGGTTTTGCTGGATAATCAGTTTAATGATCAATTGCTTTGGTACTGTTTTTTAAAAATGCATTCATGTAGCAGTTGAGCTAATTTTTCGCTGTTCTTGCGATGTTGCTGGTGCCAAAAGTTGCAATACCGCTGTATAGGCTGAGGATATTTTTTTCCACATGATTCATTGTTTTAGGGGGTTTCAACTAGCTCGTGCATGCTATTTAGCCAAATAGAGACTGTTTAACATCTGCTTAATGCTAATTTTGCTAGCATTAGGAGAGCCCTGATTGGATAAAAGTATGTGTTTGCTATACAGAGTCTGAGCACATTTCAGAATATTATCTTTGTACCAACATACTAACAGTGTCTTGTTCTCTGTTCAACTGGGAGGAGACAATCATTTGAACTCCATCGCAGCTGATAAATGTTTCACTAGCATTCGAATGAAATTGAGATGTTGATCCTTGTAGGCTGGGTACATCTTAGTTTAGAATTCAAGGACAGAAATGTGCACATTGTGGACAGAGATGATGATGGAGAGGAGTGAAGGACGCCATCTTTGCGAAACTGGAACAGCAAACTCTAAACAGACGAGGGAGTCAATGACACCACTTACTTACAATGCAGTTTTGAGATCTGTCCCCAGAAAGTTGAACCATCAATAAGACCTTGAGTCATCCCTGACCTGACAGTTTCAAACCATTCACCCCTTTAAGGCTTGTGAGTCTTGTGTCATTAGTAGTCCCTGTGATTGAGGGTGAAAATATATATCTGAGACTCCCCATCATTCAGTTAGAACTGAAGAAGTCTCTTTGATAAGAGGTAAAACATCTTCAAAACCCCAAAAATAAGTCCAGTTGTCTTCAGAATTACTTAAGAATTACCATAACCCTGATGATTTCTCGGTGGTTAACACCGTCGCCTCGCAGCTAGAAGATCCCTGGTTCAAGGAGACTTGCAGTTTAGACTATTCCCCTTACACCAAGATACATCAGTAGGTTACTGTATGTTCATCTGAGTGCTAGTAAACAACATTAATGTAAGTTGCATTTAAGATTAGAGGGCCTTGCCAGCATTCAAGGAAAATCGCAGCTTTGTTTTGTTGCTAATTCAGGACGGTGGCCTGCAGTGGTTCTGCTGTTATGGAGGTTCTAATGCACTCCCTGCTAATACTTATTAAGCAGTAATTTTACATTGGGGGATTAGCTCTTAGAGAAATATCCTTGCTGCTGCTCAGTTTCAATGACAGCTCCCTCAAATATCTTACTGTCAAGCCATTTGCTAAAAATGGTCTCTTCTTTGATGCAACTGTCCCAGACTGAGGAAGCTAACATTTATTATATGAAGTATGTGGTTACTGGGACACCCTCTAAATATCATGGTAGTAGTATCATTTATTTTATCACATGTTTAGCAGTTGTGTAAAAAGGTTGCAAACTAACCTGCTTGCAGTCAGGGGTCATCAGGTTGAGACTACTGGTGGAGATATTTAGGTTGATGGACATGCCAGCAAACTGCAGATTGCTCTTCCCCAAAATGCTGGACAGAGCTTTGGATGGTGGCTGAGAGGATCAGAGGAAGACACAGTTAGACACGAATAAAACTAAACTGGAAACAGCCTGAGCAAAGGAAACTAAATCACCAGCACCTCACCAATAGACTTTCAGGGTATTTCTTTCCCGAGAACAGTGACAGACTGGAATATCTACTGGTTTCCTCAGGGTGGCAGCAGGACTCCAGGGGGGAAGAGACTAGTTGTTGCCCACCATTTCCAATCTTTGTGCAAAGCTTTGATAGCAAGCTGCTCGCTGAAGCCCCTTCTTGTCTAACTCTCAAAAAATGCTTTCTAAATTGTAGAACCACTGCCTTAACCCTTTGAGCCCCAATGAGAGTTACATTTTTTTACTGTGGGCTCATTTTTTCACAACAATATAAAGCTTTATGGAGAGATCACAACCACTGCTAAGAAGTAGAGAGAACTCAAAAATGTCTTCTGTACTGTATGTTATGATGCCATAAATCAAAAAAATAAAATAAAATCAAGACCTGAATTTCTTTTATTACACCGAAAAAAAACCTGAAATTAACACGTGAAGCATTTTTCCAAGTGCTCACAAGTGTTTGCAACACTGTGAAAAAATAACAGCAAACACAGGAATAGATCATTTACTGCTTTCACTTTTAATTAGTCTTTAATCTTGTCACTTGTCTGTCGTGTAAACACAACCTGCAGTTCAGCCCTGTTCAACCAAAAACTCATGTGACTGTTGGTCAGCTGAGTCACTAACGGCTGCACGGTTGGAGCACAGAATTTTTTTTACAGAATCTTAATCGAGCACAAGATGTATTTTTGTCAGACTTTTAAATGAGATTTGTAGAATAAAGTGGTTTCGATGAAATATCACAATTTTGAGCTTAGACTTGGTTAAGCTGTGACTCAGATTATTGTCTTTACAGTTTCTGGCTGATGGTGGTGGAGTCTTTAAGACATTTTAAACCCACTGGTGGGTTTTGGGGGTTTGAAAGGGTTAAAGAACACTGTTCATTTATTATTGATGTCATTTCACCACTGCTGGATGAACACAGTGGCGACATTATTGTTCATCACACAAAACATGTGCACTTCTCAGCTTAAAAAAACAACACAGTCAGGATTTTTTAACTCCAATATTAAGAATAGCAAAAGAATCACTCCATATACTGATCTTTAGATGGATTTATTTACTGTAAATAAACTGATATTAATATTTGTACTGATTGGAGATTGGGCCTCACAAAGTATACCTAGCACTGGGGGCTGTGAAGTGTTTGGCATTTTTTTGTAGTACCGTTGAGGAAGCGAGGATTCAAGAGGCCAGATAAAATTAGCCGAACCCATTCAGAATTCTCAGTATGAAGCTGATGTCACCATAGTGTGTTTGTCACACAGCCAAAATAACATTATCATATATCTTACATCTATTCGGAGAGAGAGAGAGAGAGAGAGAGAGAGAGAAACTAGTCTGCGCTGATTTCGTGTTATATACTCTTCCCTGACATTTGAACAAGCTCTAGAGAGCAGAGTAATGCTTCATTTCACACCCCACATTAAGACACAGTCTCCTCACACACTGTGGACACACACCATGAGAACACACACGCCGAACCCAGACACACACATGCCCGCCTGCACGCACACACACACACACACTAGCTGAGCCTCCTGATCACAGATATTGTGCACTACATGAGTCACTAAGCACTGTGTGCGGTGTGCAATGCATCGTGGGCTGGAGCTACACCCACGCACATACAGTCCCATACCTCTTCATCTCTTCTCAGCCTCTCTCTTCCCTAAGTACAATCTCTCTCTCATCATTTCTTCCTCTCTCCCTGTCTCCATTTTCCCTCTCTTTTTACATAAAGGAAGGAAGCGAGCGATAGAGAGAGAGAAAAAAAAAAAAACATACAGAGGGGATGCTATATATAGACTGTGGAAGGGTAAATGAATATCTAATGCTGTTTCCTCTTTTTCCATCTACTGTACATTTCATTAACATTCTTTTTTTTTTTTTGGGTCTTGCAGTGTGGGCATCACTTCTCCCATGATCAATCCATGGTTTTATCCCTCCCTCCTTCCCTTTCCGTCCATCCATGTACCTTTCTCTTCCGCAGAGCTCCTTTGGTCCCTGGAACAGCCTCACACACCAGGCTGATGGCTTCCCTAGAGGGAGGGCGAGACAGGAGGATGAAGCCAAGATGGTGACCACAGACGGCCACACAATCACAGTTATTTCGGCATTAAGTTGGACTGTATTTACGGTTACAAATCATGACTGTGTTCTTAAAAAAAAATGCATTTTGTCATCTTGATAAGAACTAACAGGGTCAGGCACAGCAGAACTTTCAGCTAAAATGCTAACGTCAGCTGGGCGGGCGGGCGGCCGAGGTGGAGGATCAGGATGTCCACTAACCATGAGGTTAGCAGTTGAAGCTATTGCACTCGATGGCGGGGAAGCAGCTCTAAAACCACTGGTGAGTGAAAAGGTGAACGACAAACACATTGGAAATCAATGTAGAAATTAGCTAAAGTAGAAGGTGGTATATAACGCAGTCTTTACTGACTGATAGAAAAAGTTAACAAGCTCATTTCTATTGTCAGAAAAAAGCAAAATTTAGCTGAATGCAAAAACGATTTGAGCTGCTCAACAGGTGACAAATTGTGGACGATGGAGTTAATCTACACCCTCGTCAGGTGTAGCTTTAATTTATAATCCCATTCTTTTGACAGGTGACTATAAAAGGCCACCTTAAGATGCAGCGTTACTTAAATATCTCAATGCCTCAGATGACAAGAGAAAGATGAGAATGGGCTATTGGCAAACTGGATGCTAACATGATCATAGCCAGACACTTCAATGTCCATAACTCCACCATTTGTCATTTAAGAAACTGATGTAACAACAGAAGAGTGTCACGATCGTCTCCAGTGGACAGCCAGTCATGTTTGTTGGACACCAGCAAGATGATGTCAGTGCAGATGACAGACATCGTGGTTGGTGTTGTTTGGGGCAACATTATGCGGATGTCAATGTTGTACGAGGAGTAGGCCATGGAGGCAGTGGAGTGATGTACGGACAAACAACACGTCTGCATTTCATCAATGGCAATCTCGATCCTGAACGATATCGAGATGAAATCCTCTTACCCATAGTCATCCAATTTATTCACCGCCATCACTCGGCAAAAAGAAAATATGTGTCTTCATGTTGCCAAAATATGCGCTGCCCTTATAGCAGCTGTAAATGTTTCATTGCTACCATGGCCTGCATGTTCTCCAACCAACATTTGTGGGATGCTCAGGACAGTCGTGTCCGACAATGAGATCCTGTCTCCCAAAGTATCTGCCAATTTCGACAAGTTGGCATCAGCAGCCTCATGAACTCAATGTGTCACAGATGTGTTACTGACTTCTGACATCTGGTCTGTTACCACACTCTTGATTTGGTTGTTATCATAAACAATATAGTGTTTACGTGGTTGTTTTGTGGCATTCAATGTGTTGAGATGCCCTGTGCTGGAACAACAACTAATTATTCCCCTATGTTAAAAAGGACGGCTAGCACGTAATAAAATATGACATGCTATGTCATGGTACAATGTTTGCGTACTGGTATTTAGTAGGTATAATGTATGACCTGAGAACTATCTGAAGCTACCATGTTAGCATGCTGACACTGAGCAAAAAAGACAAGTACAGCTGAGGCTAAATGAAAATGTCTTAGTATTTCTGACAAAGCCATACAATTGTTTAAAAACTGTCAACATCATTGTGATGCAAAGGAGAGTATGACCTGCTGGTGGCGCTAGATGAAATGCTAAAGGGATCAGCCAAGTCATTAGGATTCATCCTGTGGGGGCATGAATATCTGTACAAATGTTTCTGGCAATACTTAGCAGCTTGGTTAGCAGTTTTCACCAGACAACCTCTTAATAAGCCATATGCCGCATGATCTCAATGTTCATGGTTTGATTTTCAGCATTTCGTAGAAGATTAAATGTGACTTATTCAAAATAAATTCTAAATATTAGAAAAGATAACAAACACAAAAAAACTTATTAAATACACTATGAATGAACGCAGAAAAAAAAAGTCACATTGGTCTGAGCATAAATTCAATAAGCTAGAGTGTTTTATATCAGAGTAACTGGGTATAAAACATGTATCCAGTACAGAGGGTAGTATATGCTATCCACATCAGCCATCACCGTGCTGGGATTGTTACGTAAAAGACAACAATATGTGGATTAAATAGTAGCTAAAGATAGAGCTGCCTTGATGCAAAAAGTCAAACTCCCCTCTGAGACAAATCGAATATTGGTTTCATGACAGTTCCAGAAATGTTACTGTCTTTCTAGGTGGATAAATCACACACAGCAGTAGGTTCTTTAAAAAAAAAAAAAAGAGGTCTAATAATAGAGGAATGCTTTCTTTCTCTCCCTTTTTGCTTTCTTTCTCTCTATTAAAGAGAAACATATACACACAGTGACAGCGAGAGAGCGAGAGGCGGCCTACTGCTGTGTGGCCTTGCGAGCCAACGTTACCGACTTCAGGAAGTCAAGCAGAAAAGTGAACATGACACGAACCGATTCAGCGCTGGCCTTTGGCTCGCTGCACATTGGTCAATGATTTCAGAGATACTCGTGGAGTCACAGAAAACTGCATGCAAACAAACTGTGATCAGAGGCAGGCTTAATGTAAAGGCAGAGGTAAAATCCTACAACATTTTAAATTACATTTGGCAGAATGTTCTCGCTGTAAGTTTATCTGTGGCAGAAAGTTACCGTTTTCTTCGATAATGTGTTTTAATATACAAAATCAATGCAATAATTACTGGAGAGAGTTCTGATATATTGTTTACAGGATGCGATTCAGCTGCACTTTTTAAAAAAAAAATATTGACACAAAACCTTTTTAGTCACATTAAAGATTTTTACTTACTGATTTGAACTGATGATCCAAATAAAGTTTTATTAACAGTGCATCCAATTTAAACTATTTCTCTACTTGGACTGGGATGGTAATTTTCACTGTCAATTAATCTTTTGATTATTTAAAAAGTCAGCATGTCAGAAAATAGTGAAAATGTAGATCAATGTTTTCCAAAGCCCAACTGACGTCCTCAAAAGTTCTGTTTCATCTACAATACAAATACATTTTATTTACTGTCATAGAGGAGCAAAAAAAACAGAAAGTATTTATATTTAAGACGATGGAATCAAAGAAGTTTAAACTTTTTCTCTTTAAAAAATTGTTAAATTGATTAATCGGTCATCAATTAATTTTAATAATTCACAATTAATGATGAATGGATTATTTATTAAAGCTCTCTGCTAATATCTGTTGCTAATTCCTCTTCTTTTTCCGCATTTTCTTCTGTTTCCGTTACCCTGTCTGCTGCTTTTTGGGTGCTCTTTTCTGCTCACAGTGTGGTTTTTTTTGTTTTTTGGGTTGTTGTTTTTTGTTTTTTTACCCGGACAAACTATTGAGTCATTGTCAGTCTCTGAGTCACTATCATTGTTGTGTGTCTGTGCCAACAGATAAGAAGACACACACTGATACAGCTAGGAGCTCGGCAAAACTGAGCATTACACCATCAAAATGTTCAGTAATGTTGAAACCCTACATGTAAAATTAATGCCAGACTTGCACATGTTAAAGCTTTGGCTTTATTTGGAATCACGTGTAAATTAGCAACATTAATTTGGCGCTGGTAATCAAAGTAGCAATGAAGTTACTGTTAGCATGAAGCTAAGGGAGCTAGCTTGTTGTCTAGCATGTTGTCTAAAAATCAGAAACAGAAATAGTTTTAAAGGTTCCTTTTTTTAAAAAAAAAGTTGTTCAGTTATTGACAATTAAGTTACAACTGAGGGACCAAGGACAAAAGTTAGAACTTATTATTACTGATATTTAAATTCATTACTTAAAAATAATGTAAAATTAGCAGTGATGTTTAGCTAACAGTGGCGAAGAATTTAAGCTAGTGCTACAGCAAGCTAACGCCATTAGCTTAACATAAAGTCAGCTAGTTAGCCTTTTAGACAGACAATAATAGATTTTTACAGCTGGTTAGCTACTATGTTATTGCTTCAGGTGATAGTGTACATCATTTATCAGAAATATAACATGAGCAAGGCTTCCTTTGCTTGTGAAAGCATGCATTCACCAGTTAGCTGCACCTGTTCAACCGCCTGTCAAAGCAAACATCTAATCAGCCAATCACAAGGCAGAAACACAACGTATTTAGGCATTTAGAAAGGAAATAGTCATTCAAATAACCACTCGTTACAACCACGTTATTCAGACAAGCATCTCTGAACACTATGAGCAGATTGGATACAGCAGCAGAAGACTGAGTGATTCTCCTGTCGGCTAAGAACAACAAACTGAGGGGACAATGGACACGAGCTCACCAGAATTGGACAATGGAGGATCGGACAAACATTGCCTGGTCTGATGAGGCTAGATTTCTACTGCGACATTCAGATGGGAGGGTCAGAATTGGGTGAAACGACATTAAAGGATGCCTTGCAACAACGATTCATGCTGCTGGTTGTGGGGTTTTTTTTGTCCACCCATTATCATTTATGTCAAAATAATAGAAAGCCTCTTAAATGTAGTGTGATGCAGCCCAGTAGGCCTCCATCACCACTGTAACCTTCATAATAAACATACAGCAGGATCAGCACTTTTTGACAGCATCACCAAAAATTCAAAATGCAGAAGACTCATAGAAGTAGTAGGCACAAAAAAATATATGTGCATGAATGACTGTTAAAAAAAACAACCTGATTTTAATTCAAAATGTTAGTTTTTAATTAGTTTATGAACTAACATTTTTCTTGAAGTTCTGTCTTTGTTAAAAACAATCATCATTATTAACTATAACTCTTCATATAGTTCTAGTTAATAACTGTTACCTCATTCAAAGTGTGTGTTATTTGTGGGTTTGTTCTTAGAGGTCTATCGAGTGACTTCTGGTTAGAAAGCCACATTATGTGTGAACATACCTTGTTATTTGTGACCTTGTGGTAAAATCCAGGGATCTCATCGACCGAAGGACTTCTATACAGCCCAGATACTGCAAAGCAAGAATGAAAAGCTTGTGTCAAATAAACACAGATCAGCACATCAGTATGTACGAAAAACACATCTACAATCCAAACTTAGTAAACATAGTGTGTACCAAATCACTACATACACAATAATTTAATATTAGACAGCAGGGGCTATTCTAGAAGGAGAAAAAGCCGAAAAAAATGGACTTGTGCTCATGAATGAATTGTAAAAGCAGTTGGGGGAGTTATCTAGTCTTTAACTTTAGCTTACTAGCTTGGGTGCTCTATAACTACAAACAACATTAACTCTATTTGTTAGGTAAGATAATGTTGATTTTCTTAAAAAAAATTATCACTGTCAATGTTTTCTGCCCTTTTTCTGTTCATTTATGTAATCTTATTGAGATCCTCATATTAAAGTTAACGATAAAAATGCCACGTTCTGCTCGAGCTTGTTTATCATCACAATGACAATTTAGCGATCATTATTATGTGACATTGGCTGATTACATATATATAGGCATTAGTGAATATATTGTCCAATATACCAAATATAAAAACTTTCTTTTACAGAATAAAACACTGAAAAAGATGTTTGGGGTCCTTCACAAACTGTCATCACATAGTGTATCCAGCAGAATGTCCCCGACTCCATTTTTCTGAACACTTTGTGCAGCACATGTAGCAGAGTACACATCACAGCTGAGCAGAGTATGCTGGTTTTATTACCCAAAATCGGTATCGGCCCTAAAAATCCAGTATCGGCCCCAATAATCCAGTATCGGTCAGGCTCTGCTAAGAACATATCTCTGCCAGAGATGCTGCTAACTTTCTGACTCCATTAATCATTGTTGTCTCAGGATGTGTTTGATTGGGTCAAAGTGTTTATTATCAAGTCTGCACAAAACACGCTGATTACAAATTCTTCTAATAAGCATTATGCTGGTATTAAAAACTGGGACATTAGAGACTGAAGTGACCATTTGAGTTGTAATCCTTTTATCCCACCTTTATCTGTTCATGCAGGTGCAAGCAGACCTAAAGTGTATCACACCAAAAGTTGTGTTTTTAGAAACTTGCTGAGATGCTCATCCACCATATAAAGTACAAAAGTGTTTCCAGAGATCCACTCCCACCTACTTGGAAAAAATAAATAAATAAAAAAATAAAAAATCTAGTTTACTGATTAAGTTGCAAACATTATATTTGATGCACTGGGTTGACATAATACTGTTGGTAATTGCATCAACTTAATATTGTGTGCAATTTCAATCCAAATTTCTACATAAGTTGATTTAAAACTAAATTTAACTTGTAACAACGTAATTAAATTGGTCTGATAATTTTTCTTGATCTTGATTTTCGGCTTGAACATGTGATGCTACTGCACATATGTGATGCTAGTCATACTTAGCTGTGCAGTTTTGTCGTCCTACCTTTCAGTTGAGCAAACTAGAGAATATTAATAATAAAACTCCATTTGGCAGCTAGAGAGGGATTGTCATGTTTACTTATAATTTCTGTTGCAATTTCTATTTGTGTTCCTTTTGCTTTCAAGATTTCAAGTTGTGTGTTCAAATATAGTTTAAAATTAAATTAAGAAAGTTAATTCCCAATAATTTGGTGGTTTAATTCATCAGTTCCTTAAACAAGGAGCAATAAAAAGCAAAAAAAACAACAAAAAGATCAAAAACTGCTGAAGAAAGCTGAATTATAACGAGTTAATTTTTTAAAATCTTTGTCAACTTAAAAACTCGTGTTCACAGTAATGGTAATTAAGTACGTAACACACAACATTCCTTTTAAACATCATGGAGCTTAATGTGGTTTGTTGGTTCAGCATAATTTCATTAGAAGTCGTCTCCATTCAGAAAGATTCATTCAAACTGTTTAGTTATTTTTAGAATTTAGTTAATGGTTTAAAATAGAGACATTCAGCCAGACAGGGAGTTCACAAAGTCTGACACAAAGGTGACGCAAACTTGGAAAACAATCAAGTCAATGCTTGTTCACAATAAAATGTGAAGTAAGAAGTGTGCTACTATGCCACGTGAAGCCACTGTGCTCCTCCTGTGCCATCAGTACCAGCACAGCTACTCACATTACAACACCTCCTCTGATTAATACTGCACAGACCAGGAACATTTTGTGCTGACGAGTTCATATCGTTATGAGAATCACATTCATAATCTGGCTGTAAACAAAACAGGCATCCAGACGCACTGACACTCCTTTTCATACAAAAACGAACTTATTGGAATAATACATTTCACATTACGACTCCTCGTCTCTCCAGCGAGCGTTTCGCAAGCTCCGGAAAACAAGTCCGATTTTTGTCAACATGACGTTTGCAAATTGGTAACGTTATCTATTTTTGGAACGATGACTTTCAAGTGTACAATTCGGCAGAGACAAAAATATATCAAACGGTTCTAAAATTGGTGGAGACCTATTCTGAGCACGACGTGGACAGCTTCCGTCTCTCATGCAATAAACACGCACATGATTCATAACGTAAAACTGAACCTCAGATCAATTATGAAAATCTATGTGAGGCCAGCTCTAAAGAGCCCATTAATGACCCCAGTAAACAACACAACTTGTAAGTGATCGCATTTATAGCTACATCAGAGCAAAGGCCTTCTGAAACATCAAGTCGTACATCACGCTGGCTGCAGTTTTGCTCGCTGCAGTTACGAGCTGGTGCACATTAATCTAAAAATGCTGTTTTTAGATCATTTAGATGAGTTGGAAATATCACAGAACTTGCAGCCACAACAGTGATCACTGCACTGTGCTGCTGGAGATGGATTGTTGTGATGTGTTGAGGCAACCTTACTAAATACTGTATACAGTCCAGTTTTGGGGAGTCTAGAGAGGACGAGACAGGTTAAGGGAATAACACACATGGCTGACAGACTAAACAACTGATGATTCGATTGACAGAAAAATAATTTCAGCTATTGTGATGATCAAAACATTGTGTCAGACGTACTTTTAGAAACAAATGCCAAACATCTATGATTAAAAATTAAATTAAAAATGAAGACTGATTCTGGACTTACGTTCATTAGTTGATCGAAAACACAAAAAAATCACTGCTAATGTTGTTCTGTATCTTCTAGATGTGCAGCCACAAAATCAGCGATTGTAAACTGAAGAAGTCAGTCAGTTTTGGACATCTGATTTGGAACATAAGATATACATCCATCCATTATCTATACACCGCTTAATCCTCACTGGGGTCCCAGCTGACTTAGGGCGAAGGCAGGGGACACCCTGGACAGGTTAGACAGACAACCAAGCACACTCACATTCACACCTACAGACAATTTAGAATCACCAATTAACCTCAACATGTTTTTGGGCCTTGTGGGAGGAAGCCAGAGAACCTGGAGAGAACCCACGCTGCATGGGGAGAACATGGAGACTCCACGCAGAAAGATCATTGGTGTCCTCACCAGGATGTGAACTGGCGACCTTCTAGCTGTGAGGCAACGGTGCTAACCACCGATCCACCTTGCAGCCCTAAAATATACATGCTTATCTATTTATATTTAGTTATGCACTGCGCCCCCTGGAAACACAACGCTTTGGAAAATGGCTCGACCTATAATCTTAATTAAAGACAACACTAAAATAGTGATAAAACATACTATTTAACACGCTGGGGGGAAAAAATTATAACATTAAAAGAACAACAAAAGTACAACAAAATTTGGTGTGAATGTGCAAATGCACAAGCACATACAGTAGCTAGCATGGGTTAAAAGTGTGAGTGTAAACAGTGTCACTGTCAGTCAATGTCCCTTTAGAGTAATGGTGCATGATGTGCGAGGAGTGACCACATGACGCTAATTAAAAGTGCTGTGAGCAGAACACCACATTGAGCTCAATACACGCTGGACTCAAACCACAGGAAAAGCCGGGGGTGAGGGAGCACAGAGCGGACCCATTTCCCCTCTCACAGTGTGGATGCTTTCAGCAGCATTGACTGGACAAATAAGCGCTCTCTGCCTTAATGCAGTTAATGGAATGTCATGCTGGTCACAGATACTGTAGGCCTTGTTCAGGCAAGTTGTAGTAGGTGTCATATGATGGCAATCATACTGTGTCACTTGATTTGGAATATAACACATTTCACCTGGCAAGCCTGTTCTGCATGCTCATTCCATCCCAAAAAACGGATTTAGCTTGTTGTTTAATGTGCTGCATAAATAAACGAAAGACAAAAAAAAATACAAAATAAAAATTAACAGTTTTCTGTGACTTTATGGTTTCGGTGAAAATGGTTTCTTCCATTTTTTTTCATTCATTTCACACCTTGAAGAGCCAGGGCTCAGCATCATCACTCCTTATGCTAGTGACTCATTGCCGGAATGATGACATTCACAGCTCTTGTAGTTGTGCGCCAACTTGTGCTCCTTTAAATGATGTATGATGGCTGAACAACATTAACAAGAAAACACGGGTGTGATGAAACAAACATGCACTGGATGTCGTTTCCCATTCAACCGTTTCACTATCTGCGAGCTAAAACAGCCATAGAGCTCATAGAGGTGCACAATGTACAGAAATAACACATCACCATGGTTACAAAAGCATAACGCTGTGTCTCCACATACACAAGACAGACAGAAATGCAGTGGAAACCGAAATGTTTACAGTATGTTTAAATCGACACTGATAATTCCTGTTTTTTTGCCATCACAGGTTTTTCCTCTATTTTTCCTCGGTGTTGACCTTCTCCATTTCCTGAATTATTCAATGTCTATTTTCTGGTTGCTGCTCCTTCGCTCAGCCTTCTGCTCTAGCCAACCTACATACACCCACTCAAGGGCATGTTGTGATGTGCAAGTGAAACTACATTATCACTCTTTTATCACCCCTTGCAGGTAGCTAAACTCGAGTCATTGAAAGAAAATAGAGAATGGGTAACAGGAGGAAGAACACAAAGACCAAAATGAGACAAGGGGGGACAGTGATTCCACCAACCTTCACAATGTATGTCACTCCTGGACCAGAGATCTTCTCGTTTGAGTGTAGCCATCCTCTGGAGGGTTTGCTCACCAGTCCACCACCTCCACCTGGATTCCAGTCCTCTCCGCTGGGCTGGAGCTCGTCCAGCCTGCTCTTCTTGCTCATGCTAACAGCTGGCTCCAGCTGCGAGCAGGGGGTTGAATGGGAGGCCGAGCTGCACAAAGAGCCGCCCACACCAGAGGCTGCTGCCGCCGCCGCTGCTGCCGCTGCGCTGGGGCTCTGGCCACTGGAGCTGCCTGAGCCTGATCCCCCACCCCCCTGCAGCTTAGACACAGCCAGGTCCTTGACTGCCGAGGGCAGACCCTTGATGCCGAGCAAGCTGCCTGAGTTGCTGAATTTCAGGCTGGACACCTTGTTGATGAGGGTACAGAGGGTGGTGCCTCCATCTTCCAGGTGGTCAGAGCCGTGGCTGGTGGGGGTGCTGGAAGAAGTGGTGGTGGAGGAGGGCTGAACCTCAGTCGGGGGTGTGTAAGATGTCTCGGCTGCAGACTGGGGGGTGGCCGAGACCTTGGGGTTCATGGACAGGCCGTGGAGAAGCTCATCGACGGATGTTACTGACTCATTCCTGAAGCGGTTGTATTTGGTACGGTGAAGCATACCCTTCTCTCTCTTGCTCTCTCCCCTCTCTCCACCAACCAACACGCACAGCCTGCCTCGTTCACAAGTGTGCTGGCAGACGTGGCTGAGCCGTGCTGATTATCCTCTCCTGTAACATAGCAGCAACGGTACAGGCAGCAAAACGCCTTTTAGAAATCACAGGCCACCTGACTGTAATTTTCTCTATTGAGGTTACAGTGGTGGTTGTGTTGAGCTGCTGCTGCTGCTGCTGCTGCTGCTGCTGTCGCCAAAGTCCAATCTGCTCTCAGTAAAATCCAGAGCTGCAATCCAATCCGTGAGAGAGAAATATACAGACACAATCCATGGAAACACAACACTGAAGCAGAGGAAGAAGAGGAGAAAAGGCTGCCAGTGTTGTGGTGCACCTTATTTGGTTTCCAGCGGTGATGCTGCTGCTGCTGCTGCTGCTGCTGTTGCTGCTGCTGCTGTTGAATTCAACCCTCAAAATCCAAAAAGTAAGAGAACAGAAAAAGGTCTGTGTTGTTGATGATCACGGACACTGCGAGGGAAGAGCAAATACTCTCTGCTGACTGCTGCCTGCCTGCCTGCCTGCCTGCCTGCCGGCTCAGAGCTAAAGCATGACTCACTGATCTGAGAAAACCTTCTCAACAAAAGGCTTGCTGAACACTGCAAATCACTTCCTGTTGGAGGGAGAAAAAAAACCTCCCACTTACAGCACACTAGAGCCAATCAATTTTTAAATTCCCCAGTCTCATATTTATTTACCATAACTCTTTCCCCCTTATTTGTTTTACCTAGAAAAGGAAATGAAGAATGAGAGGTTGCTCGATGATCTAACTTACTGAAATGATTATTCATAATAATTTACTTGAAACAACGTTGTAAACAATTAATGTCAGAAATGGATGATCTGGTACAAGTTGGGATAACAAAGCAGAAACTAATCACGGAGTTGATGATAAGTAAGGTGAAATAAGTAATGAAAACTAACACCCGTTTACCTGAGAGCTACAATTAGAGTGTCTCCCAAAATCTCCTGCAACAAACAATCCAGACTTGTTTGATTTCGGGATAAAATCTTGAATTAAATTGATAATAAAGATTAAACGGGTGTAAAAGAAACCTTCGGAAACCCTCAAAAGAAACGATACAGTAACATTTCAGCATGACAGGGAATATGTAACATCATTACCATACTGGAAATGTTAATTTATAACAGCGGCAGAACAGGAGCAGACATCACTGTTGGACCACAGGTTTGTTCTGTCCTAAACCAAGGGCTACTTCATGCACTTGTTGTTCCTCCACAAAATACTTAGAATCAAGCATTAATTCTAAAAAGAACAAAGCAATTTGTCCATTTTTAACAAAAAAAAACAACGTTTTGACACAGTATGTCTAGTAAGTAGCGCTAATTCTCTATGAGCATTCTGCAACAAAGGAATAAAAAAAAATAAATCAGTTCCACAGCTAGGAAGCAGATACAGATTCACAGCCAGTCTAAAATACCCAGCAGTTGGTCCAGGTTGAACTACATGAATGATACAAGTCAAAAAAACACACAAGGAACGACATGTTTCTCAGGCAGATAAGTCAATGAAACAACCGAAAGGATAACAGAAAAAAAAAAGCCCAAGAGTCTCCTTAAAACCAGCAGCAATGAAGCATCTCTGTCTCCCCCGGTAGCGGAAAGCACACATTCATATAAAATGTCCTCAGGAGCATCTAGCAAAGCCGAGAGACTGACACTCATTCATAAGCAGCTTCCGCTCTCACTGTGCTGCAGATTTCGCACTGCAGTCCCTCCCAATATCTCTCTTTCCTGCCTGGCAAAAAAAAAAAAAAAAAAAAAAAAAGACAGCACGTCTGCCTTCTCTCCTCAGAAACAAAGGCAAACACAAAAGCAGGGAAGAAAAGGCAGGCCCTCGCAAATCAAAAGAGGAGGCAAAAAGACAAAGGAGAAAAGAGCAGAGGACAAAAAAAAAAAGCATGCAATATTTAGTCTTTTATGTGAATGAAATAGCAGGCTGGCATACCAGTGTTTCTGTGAATGGAAGCAAGGCCTTTCTGCCTCTGCAAGGCAATCCCTAGGGATGGCATGGTCTTATCCAATGAGGAGCCAGCTGGATGACTCATTCAGGGGAGGCTTGCAGAATAGTGGAAGAGACCATTCCAGACACAGGTGTACATTTTGTTTTCTCTTAACTGCACGCTAAAAATGCAACGTACGTCATCGCATACGAGATGTTCGCATGATTTAATAAGACGACGCTCGGTTATTAGATTTAAAAAACCAAGAAAAATGCACAGGACACGAAATAGACGGAATAATGACACCCCCGTGATTTTGATTGTCACCATTATCACCTTTTTTCTCTCCACATTCATGTGAACGGTTACCACCTACACATTTAATTAGTAATTTACTGTTTATATGTATGAGGGCAGATAGTACAAATGCACTAAAACAACAAATATATTTTGAGCTGACAAGATATATTTAGACATTGAACATTTACCATTTGAAAAGACACAATTATCGCTGTAATACATTCTATTTGGGTATCAATTCTATTATTAGAATGGCAACTGCGGTATGCTAATATTATTTATTTGTTGGTTGGTTAGTTTAATAATATGCTGTAAAAGTCCTAACTGTCACCTTTTGCCGATATTCATGACTTATTTACCACGACTGGTTAAATTGTCAGTAACTGCTATCGGTGAAGCTCTTGTCTTTGACTAACTTAAAGCATCTACCTTCCAATTTTACATCCCTATCTAATGCTTGTTCTTTCTATTAACTATAATATTTTCCAGATTGGCTTTCAGATATTAATCTCCTACACCAAACAGCAATTTTCAATAATGATTTAGAAACTGCAACCACGCAAAACATGCTTGTCAACCATGGGATTTTCACATGCGTATTACAAGAGCTGGATTCGGCAACTGGTGATAATTTGTACCTGTGGCTAAGAGGGGGTACAACAAAACAAGACAAAAAAAAATGTGTGGTGGCCCTGAAGTCAACAGCTGCCTACAATAATTACATGAGAAGGAGGTATATTTCCCCCAGTCTTGCTTTGCCAGACCATTTCGTATCGCTGTTCAGAAAAGTCAGACTGCATTTTACCAAAATATCTGGCTTGTTTGTTTTTCAATGAATACTATTTTAGGAGATGCTAAGCCCAGGATGCAGTGACGATGTCCCCTCAAAATAGTGACGGGGGAATTATTTTGGTGGAACATTTGCATGCAGGGAGGCAGCACTAGCATTACGTTGGGTAATTCACGATAAAAAAAAAAAATAGCAAGGCTGTGTTATTGTACAATCCAAACCTTTAGAAAAACAAGAAACTTTCACTGACAGGTCACTAGGCCAGAAGTAGTTGTTTCCTGTGTTGAAGGGGATTTTAAAAACAGTAACAGTAACAAGTAGACAGTGGAAGGGGAGAAAAAAAGTCACTTGAGTGCATCGCCAAAGGCAGGCTTCAACCTGGAGCCTACATCTGATGGGTCAGACTATTAGCAAGTAGGTATTCTCATGGTCCTAATTCTAACAGTAAGACATTGTTTAACAATACAAACTGTAAGACATGAAGCTAACCTCTGTGTTGCTTGTCCAAGCAGCAATGGTTTTTTATATCATGTTCAAATTAAATATATAACATAATATCTGATCATGAACTAAACCTCCACCAAGCAGCTAATTTCCACCCATACTGTATTTTCCAGCCAACGTTACAGTCCTGCATTCACTTTATCTACACTATTAGATTCATGGAGAATCAAAGCATAAATTTAGCATTTGAATTAACACTGATATCACCAACAACAAGATGACGGAGTGATGAACAGTCGTTCTGTTCTAATTAATATTTTGCATACTTATGTTATTTCTGCAGTTACTTACTGACTTTCAAGCTGTTAGCTAACGCTATGCTAGGTTAGCATAACTACAGCGATGCTATTGCTAACCTAAACAGACGGGGAGCAACTTAAGCTATGTTAGCACAACTTTAGCAATGCAACGTAACACACGTCAGTCGTCCTGACACATGGCAAAGAGGGTTAAAGTGAAACAGGAGACATGTTGAGTCATTGTTAATGTCACAAGGTCATTATGAACTTATCTGTCAGTAGCTCCGCTCAGCCCACTTCTGTGATGCTGCCTGGCTGTAGCTTCCTCCTGTACTACTGAGAAGACAGCGATGACGACTGAATGGAGTCAGAGCTCCATCTAGTGGAAAAACGGCGAAACGACAGCATTCTGTGCGACTGTGACCCTTAACAGCATTTACTGTTTATGAGAAAATAAGCCAAAACATCACCAAAAAATCCGTTTCTAACTTTTTAACTTATGTTGCTAATTAACAAACAAACAGACAAACGCTGGCTCAAACATAACCTCTTTGGCGGAGGTAATAACCAAAACATCACCAAAACTTAATCATCTGTTCATTGTGCCATTATCAACATTTCCTAAAAATTTCATGAAAATCCGTCCAAAACTCTTCGACATATCTTGCTAAGAAACAAACAAACAGATAAACGCCAGCTAAAACATCACCTCCTTGGTGGAGGGACTAAAGAGAATCAATATGTGATACTTCCCAACAATGAGAAAGAATCTGGAACAGTCAAAAACACAGAGAGAACACTGTGGGAGACCTAAAAACAAAGACAAACACTATGGAACATTTAGAAACAATGAGAAATAGTCTGGGATAGTTACAAACACAGAGACTCTAGAACTCCTAGGAACAATGGTGAAAAGTCTGGAATAATTGCAAACAAAGAGAAATAGTCTAGAACACTTCGAAACAATGAAAAAGAATCTAGAACACTCAAAAACCAGGAAAAAACATTCTGGAACACCTAAAAGCAAAGGAAAAAATCTGGAATACTTAAAAACAAAGAAAAAATCTGGAATACTTAAAGACAAAGAAAAAACATTCTGGAACACCAAAAAACAAAGACAAACACTGTTAAACATTTTGTGTGTACCAGTTTGT